GCTGTTCATTAATCATTATTATGGTATAAGCTAAAATGATCAGGAAATTACAACTGAAAATTAGATGACAGAAAAGCATGAATTAAAAAGAAGAAAATATCATAATATTGTGGGAAAACTAATTAATAGCATATGGCATATGCATTGAATTAACCAAAGGCGCTGATTTGCTTAGTTAGGTCAAGTTACAAGCAAAGACAAGAAATTTCGTAGAGGCATTAACGCGTAGTTGATGCACCCAAATGGATTTATTTTTTCGTTTTCTTTTTTGAAATAGACTTTTTTCTTTTTCTAATCAAATTATCACGCTTGATTAAGCGACACTCCAATTAATTATATATACCATCACAAGGTCAAACCTTCCCAACATCAGAGACGAAGATAAAGAGGGCGCCAACCCTCAGCTCTTGTTTTTCTTTTTTACTTATATGTACATTTTTTGAGGAAACTCATATGGGCATTTATATAAGTTATATACTTAAAGTTGAATAAAGCCCCCCTGAAATATGTGAATACATAATCCTATATCTTATATTCGAGAAATTCACTTTGTAACGAAGCTCAAAGTGTCTAATATTAGCCCATCATAAAGAGCCTTAATAAGAATGGAAACAAATAATGAAAAGAGATTAAAAACTACTTCTCCATAAAATGGAGCAGATCCATATTTCGTTTTTCTCTTTTATTGTTTTTTATTTTTAATATTAAGTACTCTTTTATAAACCAAAACAGAGGGGAACCTCAGTAAAAAGATCTCACAAACAATCACATCTAACTTTTTTGCTACAGTAAAAAGCTCTCACATAAAATCACATCTCAACTCGAATTCTAAACTCGAATCAGCGAAGTGAACGAGGTTATCATTTGTGATTCTTTGGTTCGCGATACTCTTTTTCGATAAATTAGATTTCATACCAGTAGAAAATCACCTACTAGGAAGGAGCAAAAAAAAAAAAAAAAAAAAAAACCTTCATCAGTTAACAAAAAATACAAGCGTCATCAGTCCTAGATGGTATCTTAACTCTTATTTTTTTTATTTTCACACTACTTTTTATAGTTCTTTTTATTTGGTTAAGTTATAGTAGAAAAAAGTTGCATTTTCTAAAGGCTTATGATGTAGCGTTAATTCCGTGATTGTTTGCCATAATGGAGTCTTTCCCTGTTTCTTTTAATATAAATATTGTGACGAATCGGTTATGCAATAGAATGAGAGATTAATTGATGAATGATACTTTAATTGTGTATGAAAAAAAAGATATCTTCAATAATTTTGATAATGAGGTTAATGTCCAATATTTTCAATGCATAAAAAGAAGACGGGACAAATGTATAACATTATCAACAATTAATTTCGATTAAAGTTTCATTATTGTTATTAACCCTTTCTGATAAAATTTCTGGCTTCATCACTACCCAACTTAGACATTGCTTGCTAATGTTGTTGCTCTCGATCAATAGGACTGACAAGGAAAATTTGTGATTGGAAATTTTTGTAAGAAATATATATAAAAAAATCTATATAAATACTATATGTTGTTTAATAGTTACTCTACTATTTGCTCATCAGTAGATATCATTGTTTTAATCATTTGATCCGGCTGTTGTAACAGATTGAATAGTTAACTAAAAAAGTTATGACAATTAATGATATTGAATTCTTATCATGATATGTCATTAATATGAGAATATTAATTGAAAACTCATCATATATATACACACACGTACGTACTCTATGTGTCGATTGATTTCAATGTTAGAAACACTATATTAAAGTCTTCATGAGTAGCAATATGGTTTTCATACATTTGTGACAAAAAAAAATTAAAAAAAAAATAAAACCTATATAGTATGTTAAGAAAAAGAGTGGTGATGAAAAACTTCATAAAGGTTTTGGCTGATTTCTGTTGGATCCTAATTACGAATGGGAAAACATGAGATAATAGTGTATAAACTAGAATTGAATTAGTCACATAAATAATTACATGTGACACTGGAACCGAGTATCCTTGCTTGCGAAGATTACCAGTCATTTTGGTTGACAATTGAAGCATTGTTCCTTCGATGCCAATCCTATCTCTAGGCAAAGCATATTGAGTTGGAAATATATTATGTGCGTGAGAAGATTCTTAGCAAGCAACTTGTGGTCAATCGGAAATATCTCATCTTTTGATCTCAAGGGAAAAAAAAAATTGTGATGATGACATGTGGGGTTACTAATAATAGGATAATTGAATTTTCTAAAAATTGGGATTTCATATTAAAAGATCAACCTAGTTCTTAAGTACAAGTGAGCTAATGCCCTTATAAAGTTATGTTTCTTTTTATATTTAAGTGATATGAGAAGAATTGAAAGTTTATAGAGTAACACAAAAATGAAAAAAAAAAAAAAAAATTCAGGTACAAGAGTGCAAACTATCCTAAGTTTTTTGTTGTTGGGATTACTTAGTTGCATATATAACGGATTCTCTTGTGAGGATGTAATTATTGCTGATTTTATAGATATCATCTTCTCTAATATCATTTTCAACCTCTTTCTATGTTCTCTTCTTACTTGCCCATACACAAATTTCATAATTTTTTAATATATTGAGAGAATGATTAACTGATGTCAGAGATAATTAACACATCTCAATTATATGTTGACATCCACTAATTGATTTTATGCTATAATGAAATCCTAACTTGATGTTATTTAAATAAAAGAAAGACACAAAATGTTTAAAGACATAAAAAGGAGATAACAGAACAACCTAAAAAACATCAAAACGGCTAAAAGCCGTAACAAAAGCTAAACCAAAACAAAAAGACGAAAAAATCGGAAACTTTCTTTAAAAGGGAGTTTGTAAATATGCCTTGTTAAAAATCCTCGAGTGAAATCCTAATGAGATAATTAAAAAAATAAAATAAAATAATAGTAGAAGGGAAGAGGAGTCTATATTTACTTTAAGAAGTCGACTTATCAGAAATTTGGTAGCAAGGAACATATGCCATATCTCTATTAACCGCACTTGAGCAATAATCATGAGCATTGAACCACTAAGAAGTGTCCTCTAAAGAAGTCACATATGAAGTAAGTTTGCCCGCAATATGATAAATCATAAAGCAGATTATATTTAGATAATTGATTGTATGATCCCATGTGTGTCGACGGAAACCTACAAGGAATTTAACGTTTTTCTAGAAGTCAACAAGTAAAAACAGAGATAATTCACACTGTAACTTCTTGCAAACTCAATACCAGGGATGACACCCATAAGCTCAGCTTGAAAAGTATGTACAACACCAAAAAAAATCTTTGCAAAATCCTCCGTAAGTAAGGAAAATACCGCCACAACCAATCAAACTAGGACAAGTACCACTGGCAGCCCTATCAATATTGGCTTTAATCTAACCACCAAGAGTTGTGGTGTAGTAGTAATTAAGGATATCTTTATTAAGTAATCTCTTCACCCATCCATCCAGGTTTCCCACACAAGGTTGCCCAACCCCTTTAAGGATACTAAGTAGGCTCATGTGGCCACACTATAGGTAGGGGAAGTGAAAACTGGGTAGATAGTTGGTGAAAAACTAAATCATGCTATTTCTACATACTCGGTAGTACCTAAAATTACTGCTCTAGCCGAAGGGGTTAAGGGACATAAAGTGTACCACCAGATTTTTTTCTTTTCACTTATCATAAAAAAATATTGACTTTAATCCAACCAGGACCCGGAGCATACCATTGAACCTTTATAATATGTGCAGATCGCCTTGCTAACTCAATTAGTTAAATTAAAAGACTTTATGATAAGCAAATGTGATATAAAATTAGTCATTGTACTAGTGTCAACTGAATCCGCCTCCTAAGTTCAGTGCTCCATAAAAGACTGAAAAGCATGATGAGTCAAAAACGAAAAAAGTGATTTTTCAATCTATTAATCCGTTTTTTTATGTCCACGAAGCATCAAAACATAAAAGCAGTTATTTAATTTGTACTTTTTCTTAATATCCAACTGAACTCGGAGAAATAGTACACATTACAGAAACTTTTTCTCTTTTAATAAAAGCTGATGTTTAAAAAAAAAAGTGATTTTTTGTTTTTTTATTTTTATAAAATCAGTAATTTTATACCTTTTTTTTATGGCTGCTATTTTATATAAAGGCTTATGCCGAAAGGCTTTAATGAAGAAGAAAGTTTCACAAGAAATTCTTTTGCCCTACAATGCACCAAATTACGTGATAATTAGGACTTGATGGCGTATTTTGAAGGTCTATCTCATGTAATTAGTCTACGTAATGCCGTATTCGACAATCACTTATGTCCATAATTTTCACTTAATCTTAAGCATATATATATATATATAGACGAGTTTTTAACGGTTACGTTTCTATCAGTGATGACTACTAAAAATAAAAATTTAATGACATAATGTGATAAGAATCTAATGTTATTAATTGCATTAAATTTTTTTTGTCAACTATTTATTTTATTACGACCGTTGGATTAATATTTTACGATTAAAATAATAATATTCATTATTGATAATTGCATTAAATTACACACGTTCCTACTCGGTTCACGGCTAAGAATCTGACACGTGTACACTGTCACAATATGATGTTACTTTCACGTGTTGTTGTTTTGACTCTTGATCTTTGACGTGAATCCGATGGATATTACAAGAGATTTTTAATTACGTACCAATAGATATTACAAGCAATATTAATTTCCAAGCCCGCCAAAAAAAAAAGGTTTATAATAAAAATATAAAAAAATTTATTATTTTATTATTATTATCATTACCATAGAGGGGTGGCTAGTTAATGAAAGCCATAGTGGAAAACCTGGCTTGAAGTGAAACTGAGCAAAAAAAAAAACGACATATATCTATCTTTAGATACTGATAGAATAATATTTATTATTAACAGCTATAATACATATAAAAACAATTATTATATATGTGTATATGCATATATGTATATATATACAGTACAAAACAAACACAAGACATAAAAGAGTTTCTCAGAGGTTTCCATTTCTCTCTCACGGATTACCTGTTTATTAAATTTACATATCCCTTTTGGTAGCCTAAACACAGAGTCTCTTTTTAGAGGGTTTGCTCGCCTCTTAACCCAGACTGGAAAGAAGGTCTAGAAAGAGAAAAAAAAAAATTGTGTGTGAGAAAGAAGAGAGAGAGAGAGAGAGAGAGGAGATATATATCCAAATGGGGAGAGGAAGGGTGGAACTGAAGAGGATAGAGAACAAAATCAACAGGCAAGTGACATTTGCCAAGAGAAGAAATGGGCTTCTCAAGAAGGCTTATGAGCTCTCAGTTCTTTGTGATGCTGAAGTTGCGCTTATTATCTTCTCAAGCCGTGGAAAGCTTTATGAATTCTGTAGCGGCTCTTGGTATATTTTAATATTAATATATATATATATATATATATATATATATATTATTACACTGCATCTCTCTCTCTCTCTCTCTCTCTACATATGTTCATTTTCGACATGCACAAAACATGAAAATTATTGTTGTTTTTAACTCATTTGGTCCAAGATCTGTGGTTTTCTTAACTGGGTTTTTGTTTTTGGACACAGAGTGAGAGAAAAAGCATGTGCTTTGCTACCATTTTCTGTTGATTACTCCTGAAAAAAAAAAAACAGACTTGATTAGGGTTTGATTTTTTATAATGAAACTGGAAGCTCAATTAATTTTTTTTTTTAATTTTTAACTTTCTAGTATTTTTCTCAAATTAAGATTAGGGATTCTCACATCTCTTGTAGTACTTTTGGACTTTTCTGGCCTGTTTATACATATATTTACATATTACAAATTTCAAACACTGGATTTTCATTGTTGCTTTCTTGTTTTATTTTTTTTTTATTTTTTGTTATTTTTTGGATTTATAACACTAAGAGACCATTAATTACCCGTGGTACTACGATCGGACTTCACTAGTACTACTGTTATGATCCGAGGGCAGAGATGTGATATATGATGTGCAATAAAAGAGTTTTTTTTTTTTTTTTTTTTTTTTTTTATAAAGAGAGGGAGAAAGAGAGGTTAAAGGATTTGTCTTTTCTTCTTCTCTTTGCTTCTAAAGCTGCAAATCCATACGATTAAAAGCTTTCTAAGCATGTTTTGTTTGAGGAGTTTTTGGTGTTTTTCTTTCTTTTATCCCATAATAATTCATCAATCTTCTGTTGTTTTGCTCAAACAAAAATTTATTTCTTTCCCTTTTATGTAATATTATTGAAGAATCACAGATCTAATCATGACTACCTTAATAATCCTTTCGTTTCTTGCATTCGGTGGTTCTCTGTTGCTTTTTTATGTTTTTTTTTTTTTCTCTTACTTCCTTTTTTTTTTAATTTTTATGTTCTTTGTAATTTGCTTGTTTGTTTTTTATTTAAATTTTCTGGAATATTTTCCGGCGCGAGCTTTTTTGATCCCGAAATATAACCAGATCTGGAAAAATGCTGCTATAAATTTCTGCAAGCATATATAATTTACATTTCTGAAAAACTTAAGTGGGTACTTTATGAACAGAATATGTATGTGTGTGTGTATATAATTCGGTTAAATTTGCAGGGGAAAATTTGTTGAAGAGAATGTCTAAAATATTAGAACCAATAGGGTATCAGATTTGTTCGTTAAAAAAATTGAATTATGTGCTCAATTATTCTTGAATATATATATATATATAGATATATATATATATATATTATATGTCCCTGATATCTTCTCCTCCCGTCATTCATTTATTGTGTGTGTGTGTGTGTGTGTATTATATACATACATATATTCATATAAATATATATAATATACAGATATATATGTAGAGCCTAATTAGTTTTAACTCTTGGGATCAATTGATAAGATGCAAAACCTAGACTTTATTTTCGTACTTATTTTAAATATTTTTGCTCTGAGTTTAATATGATTTCCTTGTGTTATAACTTGTAATCTGCAAATGCAAACTTGTAATCTGCAATGCATTTAATATATATATATATATATATATATACACACACACATACATATTACAAAAAGTGTTAGAGGAACTATAACTTTCATTGTCATCTCTTTTTTATTTTCTTTATAGGAAATTAGCAGAAAAGTGTTGTGACTATTAAATCCAAGAAAATCTTGTAGACAATTTATTCGTGGCATAAAATAGGGAAAAGGCTATTCAATTCTATAAATATTGTAGTAAAAAAAAAACACGTTAATAAATTGAAAGAGAGATCCTCTATCCAGATGCTAAAGTAGTATATCTTTGCTAGATGTACATATATATTTGTTTGTATGCGTGTTTCCGTATGGCTTTGTCTAATTACTCTTCATAATGGTTTCATAATCTTTTGTTGTTTCCTTTTATGTCGTAAAAATGATCTACAAAGCTTAAAATTAGGTGTTAAAACACAAACCAGATAAGCTAAAAATTCGTGTTTCTAAATACTTTATACTTTGGACAAAACTACAAATGTCTACATCTGCTTTTAATCCTTATCTAGAGCTTAAAGATCTGTGCATTGTGTGCACAAGGTGAAAATAATAATAATACTAATAAATAAATAAATAAAACATCTCATCACTGTGGTATCCATCTTTGTTTGTTTGTTTTTTTTTTTTTTTTCCCTTCCTATTAATGGCATTACACAAGTAATAGGAAGCCTTGTATTGATCTCTTGAGGGTATAAGAAGGTACGATGTGAGGAATTAAAAAATTCATTTTTGTTTTTTATGGAAGCCATCATGATTCATGAAGATATTTCACATTGGGATTATATATATTAAGGTTGATATTTCACATTTGATTTTAATATATATACGTGTGTGTGTGTGGAAGTGTATATGTTCCAAATAAAGGTGGCGTGTGCTCATCAGGTTTTTGCACATCTTTAATATGGTGTAATAGGCTATGATAAATGTGAATGATACTTTTTCTTTTTGCTGGAAAGATAAATGTTAAATGATATTTGAATGAAATGTTCTCCTTGTAATACTGGAAGGGTTTTAATGACCTTGCCAACTTTTTTTAAGCATTTATTTTCAATGGAATTAATTATTTTGGATATGTTGACTTGTGTTGTAAGAACCCGGTATTTTTTTTTTTTTTTTAGTAGTCGTAAGAACCCGTTTTCTATAAGTATGTTTTGTTTTTTTTTAATATCTTTTTAGTTAATCATTTTTTTATGACACAACATCCTAATTTATTACATTTTCAAGGCACTGCAAAATGAAATATATAAAGATACTATATATTGGTTAGTAACCTGTAGACAAATAATTGTGTTTGAACATTTTGCAATGTGTCATGCACACTTCATAAACAGTGCTACTCTTCTTAGGAACTAAATACGTACATTGCGAATCTCTTTGTGAAGACTTTTTTTGTTCATCAGAATCTGTCTATCTTATATATGGTAACATAATTTAAAAGGCTGTAACTATGTGGTATGTCATGAATATATGTATAGTGAAATTCTTGAAAAATAAAAAAAAATAAAAAAGGTACAAAGATAAAACAAATATAATGCATGATCTTGATCATTTGCCGAGAATTCAGCTCTCAAACCTTTTCCATGGTTCTACTTGCTTTATTTATTCATCTATTTATTTATTTTATTAATACTATATCAGTATAATTTAGTCCACTTCTTAAATCCTCATCTAGACATTGCTTTTTATTATTTACATTTGATCATACAATGTTGTTCTAATTTTTTTCTTCTCACCTTGTAAATTAGCATGATCAAAACACTTGAAAAGTATCAAAAGTACAGCTACGGTTCACTGGAGGCTACCCAACCTATAAACGACACTCAGGTAGGTTCATGTTTTTACCATGAAGAATGTCATGTTTTGATGTGATATCATTACTTTACTCACTTCTTATATGCATGCATGCTCATCATATTTTATGAGGCTGTTTGCACTGATATGCATATATTTCATACTTTGTTCAATTCTATATAATTATAAACATTTTCTTCTTTTCTTCATTGTCTTTTTGGTTCATCACTTTTCTTGTAATTTTTTTCGTTAATATTATTTGTTGGAGGTTTGATATTTGATAAGTTTTTTAGGAGGTGTCAACCTAATTGGGATGTCCTAATGATCGTTGATATCTCTTCTCAGAGCTGTTCATTTAAATAAATAAATATATATGTAGATATATAACCATATATGTAGCTTCTCTTGCATTGTCTAATATATAATGAGAAGCCTACAAGATTAGTAAGAAGTAAAGCTTTACTGACGTTGATCTCAAATTAGCAGAGCAGCTATCAGGAATATTTGAAGCTAAAAGCAAGAGTAGAGGTCCTACAGCGATCTCAGAGGTAAGAAATATATTGTAAATATACAGAAACGTGTACATACACGCGCCCCAATCTAATTGGGATGTTCTAACTTTCTCTGATGTCAGTTGCTTTTTCTCTTCATAAGAAAATAAAAATGTGTATCCTGAATATTACTAGTACTGTTAATTTTTAGATATATGCAAGTTTATTTTGAGGCAACATGTGCAGTATACATATCGTAGAAAGAAAAAACTGTAAAAATGTATATCCTCGCACTAGTGTAAGATATTCTTTACATGCTGCAGAAACCTTCTTGGGGAAGATCTTGGCCCCTTAAGTTCAAAGGAGCTTGAGCATCTTGAGAACCAACTAGAGACATCCTTGAGGCATATTAGGTCAACAAGGGTAAGAACTTTTTTTATTATTATGATTTTCTAATTAAAGTAAATTTAATGCGTTTAAAGCAATAGAATCACGGTGATGCATGCTATTCCTGGAATTTTTTTAAATAATATATGAGACGTTTGGTTTATGGATTCAGAATCATGATTCATAATTTTGATTTTTGAAATTCAAATTTTTTATGAGAAAAATACTGTAGAGAACCAAGAATCATGATTCGAAATCAGGAACAAACCCTTAAAACAAACATCCCAATAGTATTTTCTTTTGAAAGTTCTCAATGCTGGATTAAATTCCCTTTTCAACTTTGGTACTAATATTTTATCCAATATTCAAACATTTGTGTCAGGTGGTTTAAACTTTGAACTGTCATAAAAATTGCGAAACAATTACATGAATATACATCTATGGAATAGAAAATGAAACATATCCAAATTACCAGATATTATAACAATGAGCTCTAACTTTAGTGGTTAAATGATCTATTAGCGGAAACAACTAATATTATGCTTTCCAACTAATGAAATGACTGTGTTGTAAATATATGAAAAGTATTTGAAATACTATCGATATGAAACACTATTACTAATTGAAAGTGAATCTTACCAGTGAGATTAATACTATAAAATTCATATTATATTAGTGTGTGATTTGCCACTGGTGTCTTATAATATTGTTGCCCCCTAGTAATATTGTTCTGAATATATTACATGATATAACCTTGGTAAAAATCATCCTGAGCTGGAATTATAAAGCTTCTACCATTATACTGGGTCGGCAATAAGGATATAAAGTAAAGCCCAACTTCCTCGGCACTTTTTTTTTTTTTTTTTTTTTTTTGTGGTGCCGCCTCCATCTCCTCATTGTACTTTGTTTTGGTAATAACTTCCCCATTGTACTTTCTGTAGCAGTTTATCTAGCTCTTAAGAAAAGAAATGGTCAACCCACAATTAAATGACCACTATTATCCTCACAAGGAAAAGACTCATGTCCTGACAGAGTTAGTTATCTCAAGAACTAAAATAAAAAACGTTTGGGGTCAGTTCTTTAGCAGAACAAGGACATCCTAGCTATTAAATCCTAATTTCAAATGCTCACACCTAGCTACCTAATACCAATACTGGAGTAGGTATAGGGAGTCATCTGAAAAAAACACTATATATATATATATATATATATAGAGTGTGATTTTGAAAATATGAAATGCAAGAAGCAAAGGGTTGCTCTTTTACAATTTTTTAGGTAGGGTAATTTAAGTCATAATTTTAAGTTGAGTTTGAGTTATAATTTGAGTTAAAGTTGTAACTTGAGTTTGTGTTTGAATGTGCACATTTGAGTTATGATTTGAATTGAGAATCTATTTGAGTTTGTATTTGGGTAACTCAAAACTTAAATTTGTATTTAAATAGTATTTTAATAAAAACTCAATGGTGATGAAAAATTTTAATAGGGTATATGGGTGGGGTTTTATTCATCTTTTCGTTGTAAATGCATAGAAAAAAATCATCTCAATCAGAATTAAAACGAAAAAGTTATGACATTTTTAAGAATAGAAAAAATAATGTTCGTTAACTTGAGTTCGAGTTTATGAACTCGAGTTGAAGAGGAAACTTGAACTCGAGTTTAGCTCTAAAAACTCAAATTTTACAAAAGAGCATGAACTTGAATAAAGTTGTAACTCGAGTTCAAATTTTTTCTGAGTTCATTGTAAAAGAACAACCCCAAAATATCTTTTATATTTGAAAGTCTGTTTGACAAATGCATTTAAATTTATAATTCTAATTTTGATATAGTGTTTTTTTCATAAAAATTTTAAATTCAAAAATTTCTCACTAATGATTTTCTGACAAAATTCATATTAATAAATCAAAATTATTGATTTAAACATGTGAACCAAACTAACCTTAGAAATATCTTTAGATGTAAAACAATTTCTTAGAAGAATTTCGGGAATTTTTAGTAAATGCGGGGAAATATTAAAAATATTGATTTCAGTGAAATTGTAGTGACAAAATTTTAAGGAATATCGAAAGATATCTTGAGAAAAATTAATGAACTTTTGAAAAAATTTGTGAAAGATCAGCATTCGATTTTTTTTTTTCTGATTTTATCAAATGTAAATAATATATTTTTATCACCTAACATGATTGAATACTTCAATTATAATGAAATCTCAACATGTTTGAGCCTCATAAAACCTTTTATTGAGATTCTACCTAAATGTATAAATTTTTTTTTATCTAAAACTAATTTATTTTTAATATTCTTTTAATATCTATCATACCCTAAAATATCAAAAACAAATATATGTAGATTGCATAAAGTTTTTCATTGATATCGATATTTCTCTCAAATTTTCTTTAAATTTTGAAGTACCAATATTTTCACACCTCAAAAAGATTCCTAAATGGGTTTCCATCAATGTTCATATTTTCATCTTTGATTGTAATACCTGAAAGAGAATTCTGATTGACTTTTCACAACGCTTTCAGACTCAGTCCATGCTTGATCAGTTAGCTGATCTTCAACAAAGGGTACGTGAATTTCTTTTCTGCATCACTTACATTGCTATATTGCACGTGCTTTAATTATACCTTTACAAACTAAAATTCTGTAATTGCAGGAACACACTCTACTTGAAGCTAATAGAGCCTTGAGAAGGAAGGTACCAACTCCTAAACATTACCTTTTTTTTTTTTTTTTTTTTGCCTAATAGTGCCCCATCCCTCCTCACATAGAGATTGGGCCCAATATGAGACTCACAAATGGAGCTCATCTTCATGTGAGGGACGGGCTACTGCCCGTCAAGTAAATATCATTTCTTTATTGTTTGTCAAGACTAGTTAGTTGGTTTGATTCAAAATAATGCAATTAGTATGTTCAATAAAAAAAATGTAAAAAAGTACTTTGCACAGATATCATTTCACTATTATGGAGAAACTGGATTTTTCAGGTTTTAATTTCAACTTTTAGCTATTATTTTTCCCGTGTCTTTTCATTTTGGCATAGTAGTGATTGTAAGATGCCAGTCTTATCTACTCTCTCACCTAGCCACAAAGGACTATTACAAAATCCTGTTTATTTTTTCTTTGTTCAATACATCAATTTTCCGATACTCAGAAACTTTTAGCACATATTTATGAATAAATTGGAGGTTTTATCGACAATCTCTTCTCACCATACATGGCTGTATGCGCCCATAAATATTAGTCCATTATGAGTGTTTTTTTTAACCGTCGTTAAAAGCTTCAATAGCAGTTATTAATTAATTGTTAATCCGAAGTCATTGTATTTATATGACATCTAGCAATGTTTTCTAAATATCGTCATACTTGCTTGGTAACGAGCTCATACCATAATCCATCATTTGAGTAAAACATAGTATTAATATGTGATATATACTTTCCTAGTAAATACATAATATATAGATACCATTTTTCAAAATCCAAAGCAATGTTGTCTTTTTTTTTTTTTTTTTATCTAAACTTTTTTTTTTTCAACTTTGTTAACTGATTAAAGAAGTCCTTCAAATTGCTGCACTAATATTTTATTGCATGTCTATATAACTGGCTACTTAACTAACTACATTAATTTATTGTTGTCTTTGCAAACAAATATATAAAATCTTATTCTCTGATATATGTGTATCTCCATGATGATCATCAATCATCAGTTGGAAGAAAGCAGCGCTCAGATTCCACTTCGACTGGCGTGGGAAGCTGCTGGGGAACAGGACTGCATTCCGTACACCCGCCATCCTTCTCAACCTGACTGCTTCTTCCAACCTCTGGGAAGCAATTCCGCTTTGCAAATTGGGTACCCTTCACTTCCTAATTAACAATAACCCATTATATTATCTTATATGTATGATGAAAGTTTCCCTAAGGCTTCTATTCATCTCATTTGAAATTTTCAGTGTATGTTTGGTATATGAATTCTACTACAGTGCAAACTTGGTTTTAGTTTTGTTACGTTGTTTTTCTCTCATAAAAAATTTAATTTTTAAAAAGTCAATAAAAAATCTTAATTTGAACCATAATTTGAACCCATATATCAAACGGGCCCTTAATATCATAGTACCACTAGTGCCACACCAATAAGAAACAATGACTCTCAGTACTATTCTTTTATTGAAACAATGAGGTTGCATGTTTAGGGCCCGTTTAGTTTGTTAATTCGAGTTTTTAATTTTAATTGATATGTGACTTTATGTGAAAACTTTTTACTGTAACAAAAAAGTTAGATGTGACTGTTTTTAAGAACTTTTTACTATAACAAAACTCAAACCGGTAAAATGAACATGACCTAATGTGTATAGATTTCTAGAGAAATATTGTTGATGAGAGTGTAGACTGATCCTCTTTCTGTTCCACACATACTTGAAGTAATTTCAAAAGTGACAATAACTAGGGTTGAGGTACAACCAATCCCTTTTTTTAGTAACAAAAAAATTGGTAATATTAGCGAGATTGTCAACTCTAAGCATTCTATTCAAAACTTCTAGTATAGTACAGTAAAAATGTTACAAATGTGGTCATGTGAAAAAACTACTTTGATTATCTCCCTCTTATGTTTGGATTTTTCATGTTTACAGATATAATTCTGTGGGCCCAGATGAGATGAATATGTCAGCCCCAGCCCAAATTATTAATGGGTTTGCCCATGGTTGGATGCTTTGACTCTGCTTAGGCCTTGAATATGAAGGTGTTGAGGAAATAAAAACGTACGTGTACTAGAATTTTATTTTATTTTTAAGTTTGTTTCTTTTGCTTGTGGCTTGTTTTGTATGAAACTTGTAATTGGTATATAATTGAAGACAATAAGTAGTACCTACGAAGTGTATTTGACATAAAGGACTAATGTTTAATTCCCAACCCCTTATTGAACCTTAATTTCTGTTGTGTGTGGCATTCTCTTATATAGAGCTAAGAAAATATTTATGTTCTTTAAATTGTTACTCTCTAAATTATTGTTCTTTTGTTGGTTAACGATTTTTAATCCATTTATAGTAGGTTTTTCCATTTAGCAACTGTGGAATATGACAACTTCTCTGTATCATTTCACTCGATATTATACAACTTAACCTATAGTTTGAATCGTTTGAGAAAAAAAGTTTGTATTGACTCCAAGAGTTGGAATATCCAAATCAAACAAATAACTGATTGTATTGAATATTGAATAACTGATTATATATATATATATATATATATATGTGTGTATTATTTATCACTTATGAGTTTATGACTTATTAGTTTAGTTTTATGGTTATATCTATTATGTGACAATGAATTCATAATGATGTTGTCCTAGTTTTAATGTTGTTGAGTGTTGGTTTAATTTAGTAAGTTATAAGTTGCAGGTTTTGATCACGTATTTTCTAAAATATATATATATATATAATTAAATAAATAAATAAATAAATAAAATCTAAATGAAAAAAAAAATGTTCAAAATATAATTTTAGACCATGCCTAAAAACTAATCACAAATTTCCTCAAAAAAAGAAAATTATCGTAATTAGTGATCATTAAATTTGACAAAATATTAAAGTTTCGTTCCTTTCACCGTTCGAACCATAGCTCAAATTTTTTACTATAGTATTTTCTCTCATAAAAATTCAAATTTAACTTTTTTTTGTTACAATGCTCTCTCTCACATAAATTTTTCAACTCAAGTTCTCAATTTGAATTAACGAAATGAACGAGGCTTGGTTGTGGATAAAATTGGATGCAATTTTTGAAAATTCAACACTCGTTCCATTTATTTTAGGTTAAAATATGTTGATTAAATTGGTCGAATGCCCCTACTCCTATAGTCCTATATGTAATAGCCCTATTCCTAGATGACGCTTGAATAAGCATGCTTGATTGAATTCTTTACTTACAAGTAACGTAGAAAAGAAAAGAAAAGAAAAGAAAATGGCATCTAAAGTACATTCAAGTGATTTGGAGTTGGTATTTGTAATTTAATAACAACTTCCACAATTTTTTTTTTTTTGTTGGTATAAAAGCATTCAAGTGGTCTAATATTTGTTGTAGTAAAGTGAAGCAACACATGACAAAGATTACTTGTGTCGTAATTTATGAATATTCTCATTCATCACTAAGGGGGCACAAAAATAAATTAGTTGCCCAGAAAAAAAAAATGCATAAATAAATGCAAAGGCTATGAGCTTGACTTGACAAAGCTGTTATTGGATTAAAAAAAAAAAAAAAAAAAAAAAAAAAAAACTTTGAGGAGTGGCTCTACACCTTATCTCTAACACCAGCTATGTATTCTATTATTTGCAACCTTATAATTTTAGTAGTAATTATAAGCTCACGTCCAATATCAAGTTCTTAAAATATAACTCGCATGAGGTTTTGCTAAAATTTCTCATGTAATTATGATTAGCTGTAAAATTAGCCTTACTCCATATCAAATGGATTATATATATGTCAATGGCACTAAATCAACTTTCTTTGCTCCAAGTATTATTCAACACGTAGTTTATATCAGATTTTGAATATAATTTGACCCTATTAGATGGGTAAATGTTTGCTGATAAAATAAACTTACAAGCTCTAAAATTAAGTTTACAATCCTTCAAAGAGTACCGTGTGTTAACTAGATGAAAATTTTACTATATGAATTAGTAGACATCTTATTTTGTGGACTAATTTGAAAGAAAAATACTAATTTGAAGGTTTCATAAGATATTTTATATTGAGGGACGATACAAGATATGAGTATCTATTAAAATAACTTATGAGAGGAGATAAGTAGAATATTCCAATGAATAGCACTAATATTAATTCTGGAATAGTAAAATAAAAAGAAAATATGAGACTTTTCATAGATCTCAAGTTGCCTTTGGTGAGACTTTGAGATTAAACGTGCAAGCGAAACATTAGTCACTCCATAATCATATTTGTAAATAAAAAAAAATAAAAAAAAAATGAAAAAACCCCATGTGAACTAACCACGCCTAATCTAATGGTTAGGATAGACTATTCCACGTGGACTCCTCATGATCCAATGGTTGTGATAGGAAGTGGGTCAATTTGTAATAAAAAGTTGATATTGTTAGAACACAACTAAACATGTTTAGACACGAAATTTACACTTCTGCCTACTTGAGAAAACTACCTGTCTATTGCTTTTGCTACAAAGCAAAGCAACTAGACTTCTTTAGGGAAGCCTAATAGTTTTTCCACTTCCAAAGTCATCAGAATGATTCAAAAGCCGGCAAAAATACATACTCAAAATCCTCTTATGGAAAAGGTGCTTTGGTTAAATATAGCCAAAAAAAAGGTCGGTCAAGTGGATGTTTTATGCATTTCTAATCTCACCGAATTCATCATTACTAGTAGCGACCCTTTTCCATACTTTTCTGCAACCAATAAGCACTTTCATGCATCTAATATCAAGCTAGCATACTGTCTTTATGTAATCTTCCCATTGAATACTGTAGTTTAATTTCCAAATTTTATAAATCCTTCCAAATTTAATCACCTTTTGTTTTGTCCCTGTATTTGAAAAAATGCCATTGGTTCCATCAAACTTTAATGCCTTATAAATCACTAGTGGATTTAGTGTAGTTTTAAGAATGAATTTTTTTCTTCTCTTTTTTAAATGCGCCCAAAATTCGATACTCTACAATCCTATTTTAAGATTCTTGTCCAGCTACTATTTTATGTAGTGTTGGGTATTGGTCTTAAGATTAAAAATTGGACTCATTCTTTAAGTCAGGTTATCCTTTTCATTTCATTAGTGGGTCCTAAGATTTCTAAAGAGACCGAGAGGATTTGGGGTGGGGTGATGGGGCAAGAGGAGGCCACTGATCCACCTTTTTTTCTTTAGAGGAAAAAAAAAAATTCATGCCTTACAAAATTTTCCCCTTCCATCACTTAAATGGGTGAAAAAACTCTAGGGCTAAAATTTGAAGTGAAAATTTTCTAAATTCCATGAATTTAGGTTAATTTTTTCAATTGTCCCTCAAATTTGGAGAACTGTAATTCTCTTTTCCTAATATTAAAACATTAGTAAATTTCCCCGTTTCATTATTTACAAGAACCGAAAAGCTGATGTGGCATTAAATTTGAAAAATTAAATCATAATTTACACTAAAAACTCCAATTGCTTAAATGAAATACTTCAAACAGTAAGTTAGCACAAGTCACTCCTAAATTAAACACAAAAAGTTAGGTCACGAGGAGGGAAGGGGTAAATAAATGTTAGTAATTAGAGTAAGGTAGGTTATCATATTTTACATTATATTAGGGACCACGCAGAATTTATTGCCGTTAACATCATTTCTTACAAATTAATAAAAAAAAAAAAAAGCTTGAATTTTGAGAGCAATATATTCCAAGCTTAAATTATTTTGATATATTCGTTATATGATGCATCTTATCGCAAAAGAAACAATTATTATGATGTGATTAGAATGTCTATAAACTTGTATTGTAGAAGCCAAAAAGGGAGTTGAGGAAAGACAAGAAATGATGAAGAAGCAATATGTAATATTGAAGATGGAATAAATGATAAAGGCCATTTCAGAGCAAATAATAATAAGAATAATAATAATAATGAATAAAGGACATATTATATGAACCTTTTTTTAATTAAATTAGTGAATTGACAAGTCAGTGGACAAAAATCAAAGGAAGAATTTTAACTTCATTAAGTTAGCACTTAAAAGTAAACAGTTCATGTGACTGAAATATAAGTGCAACGGGACCATAATCTAAGATACATTTATTAGTCACTCAAGCTCCCAATATTTATTTATTTTTTTGCATGCAACACGATCAATTACTAAATAAATTTTTTTTTTTTTTTTTTTTTTTTTTTTTTTCAAAGTATTAGAAAGTCGGATAATTCTATAGTGAGGGCTCACATTGCGTTTGAAGATAGGAGCCGGGACGATGAGAATATATTCTCAGCCTTCCGATTAAAATCACTCGGCGTTGAAAGCATTACGTACAGTTAAAGTAAAATAGTATCAAATGTTTGCTTTCAAATAACCATGCACGTTTACTCTGTTGGTCATCATCTTGAAGGGGGAATATAAGATTTTTGACATGGACATTTCGAAAGATCCTGATAAAACGTGGGTTCACAATGCCCACATATATAAATATATATGTGTGTGTATATATATATATATGTATACATATTCAAAGCTCCATCTCAGCATATTCTTTGGCTTCCTTACGTTTGAGTCACGACAAGACAACACGACTCGAAAACGACATGAATTTTACGGGTTAGGGTTGAGAAAAAAGAGGTTCGGATCAGAATTGGGTTGACCTGAAATTGATACGAAAAATACGGTTCAATTTCAGGTTGTACCCGCCTAACCTGAACACGACACGAAACTCGTAAAAAACTAAAAAATACATATATTTTTCATTACATATTTTTTATTTTGTTATGAACTTGTGATATCATGATAGTTATACTCAAAATCTTATACTACTATTTGCTTAATTTCAATGAATGTTATTGTATTTTAGTGTGTTATAAAGTTATTTCTAATATGTAAAAAACTAAATAAAAGTATACAATTTTCGTGTCAATTTCGGGTTCACAAGTCAATTTCGTGTCACGGTTTATTTTTGTGTCGTGTCGTGTTCATGTTGCGGTTTTTAAAAAATTTCGTATCACGGGTCATATTCTTGTTTACTGTAAATTTAGAAAGAAACGATCAAAACACGACACGTGACATAAATTGTCACCCTGAAACAATAGCTAAGCTCAAAGCTTTTCCGCCGCCCAACTCTAGGCTTAGTTTGGTATTGTTGTAGATTTTAAAAAAATTACTTTTAGCTGTGCTGAAAGAAAAACAGCTGATATAAAAAGCAGTTGAGTGTTTAGTAAATTATAATTATAGTAGTTGTTATGGTTC